AAAATTATTGTTAAAAATTAAAAGGGTAAATACATTATATAAGTTTGCTTTGCATAGATCCGCTAACGTGTATAATATATTGTCACAAGACCAGTTTACAGATAATATCTTATATTCCTAAAGGATTTTGGAAAGACTAGTTTTATAAAACATGCTATCTATACCACAATAAGAAAAAGATCTAGATTATCTGTTGTAAATGAAATGTATTTTCCAAATCTCTATGCGGCCCTTTGATAGTTTTAAACGTCTTGATGTGGCATTTTGGTAAAAATGTTGCCCACCTCTGCATTAGACTGATTTCCTCGTCCTGTAAAAATAAACAAATAAAGACTCGAGGGAAAAAGCTTCAGTCAAAAATATGTTTAATCTATAAAACTGTTTGTCAGCACCATCGACCTAATGTCCAGCAGGACCCGGTTCATTAGAGCCATTCTGTATGTTTTGGAACCAGAGTGTGCACACGAGGAATCTGGAGCGTTGAGTCCTGCGTGCTCCCCCCCCCACGCACAATCAGGGAGTCACACGATCTTTCATTTAAGCAGGAGGAATGTAGTTACAGCTAACATATTAGAAAAGGGAATGTTTGAGCATACAGCAGCAAACTGAGAAGAATCAACACCTGAAAAACTAAATCACGGTCACATGACCTGTTCACGTTGACCCTGCAACAGTTGTTCTGGTATTACAAGATTCTTCTGTAATTATGAAAATGTCTATCTGCTAAGAACTCTAAGAAAATGTTTGTTTGGAAAAAAAAACAAAAACCTGCCAACTCACCTCAGGCATGCTAGAAATTTTGTTCTTGCAAAGGAAGAAGTTTGAACTTATCTAACTGGTTGGGCGTAGCTCTTTGAACGGGTCTTTTGGAACAGGTTTCAGGTGTCTCTTGTAAAAGAGTCCCCGAGGCTCACTGGGACTAACCTGTATAAATAAAGGTTGAATGAATGAACGTGTTGATTCAGTAAAGTTTCTGTCTGACCAGAGCGACTGGACTGGATTTCTGCTGTCCTGCAGCACCTGGATTGAAAACATCTCAAGTTGTCAGATGTTTCTTTGCTCCTGGTTCACACAAACCATCAGCTTGTTGCTGAGTTCATGCAAATGACGCTAATTGTAATATCTCTGTTAGTATTATAAATACATCATGGGGATGACTACTGCCACACCAAGCTTCTGTCTCATCCAGAAAAAAAAAGAACTGATGATGCAGAAAGGTGAAAACCAGACTCAGCAGTTCTTCTTCTGGACCCAGCTTTTGTTTCTCACAAGTCAAACTGTGGATTTTTGTCCTCCATGGACCACGTTGTCTGCCTCAGTACCATCCATCACCTTTACCCGCTTCTTCCTTTACGGGTCACGGGAGTCGCCGGTGTCCATATCCATCCATCACTGTGCGAGAGGCGGGGGACAACCTGGACAGGTCTCCAGTCCATCACAGGGACACATAGAGACAAACAATTATTCACTCTCTCACTCACACCTAGGAACAATTTGGAGTTACCAATCAGTCTAACATGCATGTTTTTGGTGTGTGGGAAGAAACCGGAGTACATGCATGGAGACAACATGCAAACTCCACCCAAAGGCACCCAGCTGGGGTTTGATCCAACGACCTGAGAGGTGACAGCTCTACCAGCTGCGCCACTGTGCCGCCCTGCCTCAGTACTGTAAAATCATAATGTTGTTTGCTCTTTTAGAAGCAAATTTATATATAAAAATAAAATGATTGCCTTGTGTTGTTTTTTTTTAGATAAAAGAACACTTTACAGCTGGTGAAGCCAATGAAACGTGACCGTGAAGAAACAGATCTGTCTCCTTAAAATGAAGTCATTTTGATCCAGACGCTCAGCACCAACACATAAATACTATTTCTACAGAAATAATTTGTCTTTCTGTTTCCACCCACCCACCCACCCACACACCATCACACCCTTTCTGGTAAACCAAAGTGACATCAACTGGCATATTTTTCTCTCGAAGCGTTTACGGCCTGTGACGTGTCCCCGTGTTATTCCTGGAGCGAGTGTCGAACTAACTGGTGTGTCCTTTTGTTTGCAGCTGGTTGGTGGGGTCAGCCTTTGGATATGGACGGCTGTGGCTGAGTGGTTAGAGCAGTCGTCCTCCAAGGCAAGAGTTGGGGGTTCGAATCCACCAGCAGTCACATACTGAAGTGTCCATGGGCAAGACACTGAACCCCTCATCGCCTCTGATGTGTGTCCCATCGGTGAATGAATGTGATAAAGCTCTGATTATTCTCTTTAGAATGATTTGTTCAATTATCTTTGTAGAGATCTAGTAGAGAGCTGTATGAATGGGTAAATGAGGACACAGATTGTAGTGTAAAGAACTTTGAGTATCTTGATTACATGGAAAGGTGTTATATATAAGTACATTCCATTTATCATTCTCTATCTCCGCTCCTGCTCCGTTCTTGACACCTGCCCAGCACCTGTTCATCTCTGTTTCCTTGTTGTTAGCTGGAACTGGGAGTTACCGGCTGTACCTGTTTTAAGGCTTCTGGTTGTAGGGGCACAAGGCAAGGAGAGCAGCAAGAACCCAGCAGCAAACAGCTGGCTGGTCCGGTGCTTCTCCCATCCTTTATGTTTGTTTTAGCCTGGGCTCCCAGTTCTCCTTTAAGTTCAGACGAGGGATTAATAAAACGTTTTCAGTACCACTTTACAATAAGGCTAATAAATAGTTTATAGATACATTATTAATTCCTCTATATACTCTTTATAAATCATTGATAACCGCTTATTATGCATTCATTAAAGGTGAGAAAGAGAAAACTGACCAGTTTCTTCCCAAATATTGAGCCACATCTGTTCATCTATATATTTCATCTAGAGTTGTTATATTAAACATTTCAGACATTGTGAGCACAATAAGCATTAGGGGAGTGATGGCGCAGAGTTTAGAGAAAATGGGCCTTTGATCGGAAAGTATCTACTCCCCAGACTGATGACATCCAAAAAAAAAAAAAAGAAAAAGGTGGGTGGAAAAGGTGAAACAGCCACACCTGCCTCCACCCTCATTTGCCCACTCTGGGCCCTTGAGCAAGGCCCCATCATCTGATGACATTTATATAGTGGCAGATTTGACTCACTATTTGGAAAGAAACTAGTCAGTTTTGTCTGTGTCACCCTTAATTATGGCATAATAAGCAGTTATTAAAGATTTATCAAGTGTTTATAGAGGACTTAATAACATAACATAACATAACATTATCCTTCTGTAAGGGGAGCCTTATTGTAAAGTGGTATT